CCCCCTCCCCCCATAACTCAAAAGCTTGTCAAGCTGGTTCCAGACTCCTGGCGCCGGGCTCCGCTCCAGGAAAGAAAAAAAGGAAAAAGAAAAAGGGAAAAAGCCGGCGCGAGGGAGCGAGAAAGGTCCCTGCACGCTCCGCCGGCGACCCCGGCCACCCCCCGCCCCTAACCCTATCGGGGAGCCCCACCCTGGGGGGCAGAGGGCGCGCGCGCAACACGGATCAATTATTTATGGGCGAATCAGTTCTTTAGCTGCCCCGGGCAGGGGAGGGGACACGCTGCGGAGACACCCGCCCTCGGTTGCGGCTCTCCCGCTGGGCCGCGGGGGCAGGAGGCGTCCCCACGCCGGAGGTCCTGGTGGGAGAGCGCTGCCTCGGGGTGGGCTCCGGGAGGCGCGCGGGGCAACCTGCAGGAGCGGGAGAGGCGGCTCAGAGACCTCCCAGCTAGACGGGGGAGGGCGGACGGGGGTGGAAAGAGCTGGCGGCGGAGGGGGCGGAGGAAAGCGGGCCGTGGGAAGAGCCTGGCCTATGAGTTCTCTCCTTCCTTCCTTCATTCATTCCCATCTTTACGGCAAGCCCACTGTGTGCCACGGTGCCCACAGCAGAGGGCGGTATCAGGGAGGGGTTAAGAGCGGGCATTCGGAGTTAGGGTTGGGTCCAATTCTGGGTTTATAACCTCTTCTCTGCTGTGTGGCCTTAGGCAAGTGGCTTGCCCTCTCTGAGCCTCCTTGCTGAGAGCTGCTTCCTCATCTGCTCTCTGGAGATGAGCAAAGTAAGGACTATGGGAAGTGGGAGATGGGACACGTGGGCCGGGCCTGGCACAGAGTGTATGCGGGGGGTTCTCTACTTGTTGGGAAACTCTTTACATTGAGGGGAACGTGAGAGGTCCCAAATATTCCTCACCCCCACCCCTAACTGTGGGTCCCGGATAAGCTGCCTCCTTCCCTGGGCTCAAACATTTGAAGGTCATATCAAAGCCAAGTCAACCCCAGGACCACTGCCCAGGGCCCTCACCTCTAGCCAGCTCGTAATGGCCTGGCCCTTCAGAAGGGTGGTACACACGGCAGCCAGAGGGGGCTACCTGAGGCTCATTGTAATCCTCTTGTTCCCATCTGACTTTCCTCCCTTCCGGATCCCCATCTCCTCCATTCTCCTTCCAACAACTTCCTTTCGGTTTCCAGTCTGGGCTAGAGAGGTCTGGAGCCCTGAGGCCATGGGGGAGATGGGCAGTCAGAACAGGAGTCAGGGCTCAACTGGCCTTCCCCGGACAATCTTCACCCCTGCCTAAGGTGCCAGGGTGTTCTCTTTCCAAGATTCGGGACCTAGGGAGGCTTCCATTTGCCAGACACAGGATTGCCAAGGAATTTGCCTGTCTTCTCTCACCAAATTTTGCAACAGCTTTATTAGGTGGGTGGGGGCAGATCCAGGTTTTGTGGGGCCTGAAGCTTTTACAATCTTGGGAACCCACTTTAAGAAGAACACTGCAAAGTCACGAATACACACTTAAGCCCAGGGCCTTGGTAGGGCCTGTGCAAAAGAGAGCCTCTGGATCTAAAATTTCATTAGCTTCTTGGTAAATCACCTCTGTAGGTGTGTAACACAACTGTCATCCCTTTGCAGAGGTGGAAACAAAGCTTAGGAATGGGAAGTCACAGGCCCTGGGGTACACAGGTAGAAAGGACCGAGCTGAGGGCCAGCCCGTGGCTCACTTGGGAGAGCGTGGTGCTGACAACACCAAGTCAAGGATTAAGATCCCCTTACCAGTCATCTTTTAAAAAAAAATAGAAAAAAAAGAAAGGACCAAGCTGAGATTTAAACCCAGGTCTGACTCCACAGGCAGCACTTTGAACTGCCTCAGTACACAACTACCTTACATGTGTCATCTACCCCATGCCATGTCCTTCCTGTCCCCAGCAGTGCCCAGCCCTGGCAAAGTCAGTGAAAACAGCCTTTGCTTCCAGAACAGCCTGTGCTCCTCCCTTCCAAGGCCTCCATGTCCCAAAGCTCAAGCCTAGGAGGCTTTCTGTCTTGTGACAACAATCACAGTTCCAGGAGGTAGGTCTTCCTAACCTTTTAATTCCCGCAGTGGTTACCTGCTCATTCCAGAACTCAAGGACCTGGAGGGAACGGTGAGCTCCCTGGGGCCGGGCCCACTTTGTCTTATTTGGCTCAGTATCCCCAGCTCTCAACAAGGTTCAGACACAGAGCAGAGGAAGTGGGGGGAAGGGGGAGGGGGTCGTTAAACTGCAGATTCCTAGGCCTCCCCAGACTCTTTGGAATCAGGCTCTCTGAGCACAGGGCCTGGGACTCAGTATTTTACAACCACTCCCTTGGGTGCATCTCAAGCACAGTAAAGTTTGAGACCCACTGACCCAGAGGCAAGAAAGGACCAAATGTTGTATACAGACCTAGCCCCTCTCACAAGGGTGACTCGTCTCCCTTAAATCTGGCTGATGTCACCAGTGCCCCAAGCTCTTCCAGCTGAGAACTAATTGTTTCACTTATTGAAGACCTACTATGCAACCTTATAACTCCAAGGACATGACTTCAGATCTCCTTACCGGCCAGCTGCCGTAAAATGAAATAAAATAGGGGGATAGCTTACCCCTTTAAAAAAAAAGAAAAAGACCTATTATGGGCAGAGACTGGGTCTGAGGCTTCAGACAGTTGACCTCATTGAATACTCACAAAAACCCTGGGAAGTAGGGACAATTAGTGTCCCCATTTTACAGATGGGAAATCTGAGGCCTGGGGAAGCACAGTGACTTGCAGAGGGACACTGCACCAGGGAATGAGGAGGCTGGCAGGGGAGTGCAGCCTGTAGGACCAAACAGTCCGAGGAGTGTAACTTGCAAGGGTCCTTCGGTAACCTCCAGAAATGAAAGTTTACACAACAGCCTGTGAACGGCTTCAAGAGATCAAACACACGACAGAGTCACTACAGGGACCTCAAGCTAAGATGTGCAACAAAATTAGGCGACAGGCCCCAAAGAAATCTCATCAAGCAGGCCTCTTCTCCTTGGTGTCTTTGGAATCGGTGTTCAGGGGACTGTGTGTTTGTGGAAGGATTTGATGTGTTTGCTTCAGGCAAATCTTTGCCTTTTCTCTGCCTGTGGTTCTGGTGCAACAGGGAAGAGGCCAGGCAGAAAGAGGGGAGAACCAGACTTGGGGGCAGGGGCCGCAGGCCAGTGTGGCTCCCTGGGCTTACCTGCAGGATTGGGTCACCACGCCTCCCTGAGCTGGTGATCCGTGCAGACACAGCCTAACTCTTTCCGTTCCAGGATGATGGTCAGGGCACTGCGGAGGTTTCAGGTGGGGAGAAACTGAGCTAGTGGTCACTGCTCCTGAGGCTGGAGGAGCTGCCTGGGGCAGAGGGTGTGGACTTGTTTGGGGAGGACCCAGAAGGCAGAACCAGGGGAGGCTGCCCAGAGAGGTTGGTTTTGTCTCACAAGATAAACTGTCTAATAGTCAGGGCAGCCTCGTAGGTAGTAAGTTCCCCATCTGGGAAGGCAGTCAAGGACAGGCTGGGGTGGAGGGTGGTGTGTGTGGGAGTACAGAGCCGTGGCTCAGGAAAATAATTGGCTGGGGCAACTTGGAGATCTTTTTCAATGTTGACACTGGGAATTTCCATTCCTAACATAACCGAGCAAGTGGGGCTGAGGGGAAAAATGAACAGAGAGGGAAGATGGCAGGTTATGGTGCCCAGACTGAGAATCCACAGACCCCAGAGAGGTACCCAGGGAGACCAAATCAAGCCCCAGCCCTTGGATCTCCCAACAAGACTGCTGTTTCTTAACATTTAAATATGCTGCTTCTTCTGGCAGTCACTTGTAAATGTCTGTTAACCTTTTGCCA